AGCCAAAACGGTGCACGTGGCCGCATACCACGCGCGCGGCTTTTCAACTTGTCGACCAATAACAATCATCGTATCCACGTGCGGCCTACGTGCACGATTCGCAACACTGTTTTGTTTTCGAACGGCTTTTGAAACCATGTGTAAAATGCGCAATGCTCCAATTAGAAAGGCAAGTCGTGTTAAAAAAAAACTTACCACGGTACATTGCACACGTATGAAAAACAAGTTGGCACTTACAGTGAATTCATATTGCAAATTATTCTAAATCAAAAGGGCTTTCGCCTATACATGAATAGCATTTTAAGTACAATTTCCAGCAATGCAAAAGACAAACTCATGTAGGCGAAACAAAATGGACGAAATATTCAAATTACTCTAAATCAAAAGGGCTTAGCCTACTGGGAATGGTATTTCAAGGACAATATCCAGCAATGCCAAAAGACAAAATCACAGGAGAAACAAAATGGAAGACAGTTAGCAACAGAGCATACTAGAAAGTGCGATTTGAAGGGGAAAATCTAAGATTTTTACAGTACAAACTTCAGCAATGCAAAACATTTTCATGCACAAAGAGCACATGGACGACTTATGTTAGCAATAACTACACAAGGACCAAATAGGGGGATTTTGTGGCTCGAATTTATGGTAAATAGATGTTAAAAATGGAGACAAAATAGGTACCATTGCTCATAATAATACGACACAATTAAAGAGTTTTCTTCTTTTTGTTCTGTGTGACCGGAGAAGATAAATTTTCACTCACCTCGATAGTCATAATACCATGATACGGTGGGACTTACCCCCGACGAACTCCAAGAGCTTGACTTGAGTCTTTTCCAAAACCATCATCAGATCATTCGACAAAATCGCTAGTTCACACAAAAAAATCCCATGTGCACATTCAATTCAGTTCACCACAAAATGAACGCTCAAAAGCGCAAGTTTTTTTGACAAGTTCTGTAGGCCTACAGAAAAGTTCAAGTCAGTTTTTCAGTATTGGTTACGACGACCAAACATGCCTGCGTCGACATGTAGCATGCAGTGGCCCCGTACATGTGGCCCGTTTTGCGGTTGACTTGCCAGACTCCAGGCGTCCAAAATCGTCTTTTTCGTGTACGGGCAGACTCCATGGTGCACGATACAAGTACAGCGCTCTACAGACTACAGTGATGTCCTTCTCTCACGACGGCATGTGCAGTACGACTGTCTTAAATTTCGCGCCGCACCCGCCACGCCTCAACGCTCAACTAAGCACAGGCATTTCGCTCGTTTGCATTAACAATGTGAACGATTATTCCAACCCCCAAATAAGGAGAGCTCCGGGAATGGCATTATACATGAGCAGCTCTAGTCTAAGGTTGTCGGTCACTTCGCCCCGTTTCCACTTCGCCCCATTCGCCCGTAAAGCATTTCTAATTATAGAGGACTTTGCAAATACAAGTTACTTCAAACTAAATTCTAAACCTTTGTAGGCAAATGATTTGCAAATTCGCTGAGGGCGGATCTTGTGGTGCGATCTGAGGCAATTTCTGACCACATCAACCACCATGGGCGTCGCGAGGGGGGGGGGGGCAAGGGGGGCACTTGCCCCCCCCCCCCCCTGGAAAAGCAAAAAAAAAAAAAAAAGGAAGAAAAAAAAAGTAAAAAAAGAAAAGAAAAAGAGGCGCGAAGACAAAGTGGTGTAAATTTAATGAGTTGGGGGGGGGAATGTCCCTGCCCCCCTCTAAAACTGATAAATCGAGAATGTGTTGAGAAATACAAGCCTTTTTTGGCAAAACAATTTTTTGCCCCCCTCTAGAAAAAATCCTGGCGACGCCCATGTCAACCACTTTTTTTTTAAGAAATGAAGGTGGTGTACACGTGTGCCTGCCTTTATTGCGACGTCTCTTTAAAAAAAAATTGGTTTCGTTTTATTTATTTATCTATTTTTTGCAGGGGGGGGGGCGGCCATGGACCCCGTTGCCCCCCCCCCCCCCCTTGAATCCGCCCTTGATTAAAGGTTGGTGTGTGTATCTGGCATGACTAGGATGTCTGTGAAATATCTAGGCCTGCGAACTTGCAACTTTCTAGTAGTGGTTTTTAAATGCTTTTGACTTTTTCCACAATTTTGTTTCACTTTAATATATCAATTAAATGCGTGTTTTGAAACGCCTTTTTGATGAATCACTATAGGTCTCAATGAAAAGGTTCTATTTAGTTGCGTAAATCTGAGCGGGAGGAGCCGGGGGATGGGGGCGACTAAAATCACCGACAACTGATTGCCCAATTGAGGAAATTCGAAAAAGGGGGTACATGGGGGCTGGCTGGATACCACATGAAACTAGGGGGCGCTGTTCATGATACAGATGTTACGTTCCATAACGTTATACATGTACATCAAAACGGCGCATTTTTTAATAAAAAAATTTTAAAAAGGGAAATTTCGAAAAATGCCTCAGAATCAACCTTTTTATTTTTCACAACACCAAAAAGTGGGGAGGGGAGGGGTGATCCAACAGCCCATCCCCCTATTCAAAAAGTGGGAGGGATATATATATATTTTTAAAAAAAATTTAAACTTCGGATTACTTGGGAAGACGGATAGTGCCACTCAATGAGTGTGAATATATTTGTTTGGTGCGTGTGAACATATTTTTTGTACAGCAAAGTGGTGGCCGCCGCCAGATAATAAGTGGCGGCCGTCACATAATAAGTGGCGGCCGCTGTACAAAAAACACATTTTCACACCAAAAAAATATATTCACACTCATTGAGTGGTACTCTCCGTCTTCCGTATGTTTAAAATATCCACCTCGAAAGGAACTTGAAGGTCGTCGAATTCGTTGTTCGCACCTTTTAATAGCTCTCCATGTCCGCGCACACAAGCTGGTTTCATGATGTTCAAGTTGCTGAGTACACAATATAGGTCATCGATTTGTTTGGTTCCTTTGCCCTTAAAGCTTTAATTTGTACTCTTTCTCCCTTTTTTTTTCATAAATACATTTTGGTTGTTGGGAAGTTCGCAAAATGCCTTCAGAATCTACCTTTTTGTACCCCCCCTCTCGGATTTACACCCCTGGATCATCAGTATTCCTAACTTTATGACATGTGATTTTACGTTTGTTGTTTTTACTTGGCCGTGTACGGAAGCGTAGAAGGGCCAAAAGAAATTAAGAACAATTTCGTTCCTATCTCGCCGCGGCGAAATAGGAACAAAATTTTTCTGAATTTCTTTTGGCCCTTCTATGCTTCCGTAGCCGTGTACACGCCACTATTATGTTTACATTTCACCACAAATGGAACTAGTGAAGGCCGCTCCGCGGCGTTTCCACACAACCTGGTTGCATAATGTTCCTGAATACACAGATTAGGTCATCGATTTGTTTGGGTCCTTTACCCTGTGTGCGCTCAAGCGTGTGGTGCATTGTGGTTTAGGACATCCTGGTCATGCGTCATTTTACCCGGTACTTTTTCCGCCATTTAGTAGTTCCGCAAAGACTTTCAGAACGAGATAAAACGCAAGTGCCGTGGGTACGATTTCTCAGCACACCGGGCAATTTTTCCACCTGCAATCGGCAAACGGCAAACGGCAAACGGCAAACATCGTGGTATGCAAGTTTCTTAAGTTTTATTTTCCTACCTACCCGTATCTACTAGTGTCCATTTTTTTTTAATTATCTGATCTGAAGATGTTGCTGTCATGTGTTGAATCGATAGAAGTGGTTAAAATTATAACAGATTGATGTGTTTTCTTTTTTACCGTTTGTTAAGTCATATTACACACCTTTGGTAGGCCTATCCTTATTTTTTGAACACTGTTCCGTAGTCAAGATGCCAACACCAGATATAGGCCTATATTTCCAAATCAGCAATCATGTTCTTTGGATAAACTGCATCACGTTTTAATCACAGATTGGTGTTTATTTAAGTGTTCTAAAAACGCAGTTTTACAGTGAAGCGATGTCGATGCCTCTTTTGACCTTTTTATTTCTGGACATAATTATATGTTATGAGCTTGGAGAGGGCATATGCAATAACTTAGTTTTCTCTTCGTGTGCTAATTCAGAATGTCTGTTTGTCAACCCACCCCTATACGGAGCTATCATGTTCACCATTCACTCCATTCATTCAAACTTGTCATCAACCAACGTCAAGGGAATGGAAATTTACGGGTAACAAGATGTGCGGTGACGCGACTCCCACATCACGGCCAATGCATGCAGGCGGCAGTCCGTCAAATAAACAGAGATCCCCAACCCGAGCGCGCAGTGCGTCCACATGGATTAACATAGCCTAGAAATTCACGCAAAGTGCGTACGGAGACCAGTTCTGAAGGACTGAATGTAAAAAACCGCGTTTTGCCTTCCAATTTATTTATTTTGAGCACCTATGCTTATACAAAAAACGTGGCCAAGTTGGTCGATACGCTTTTATGCGGGAAGACATATTGGCCTGAATTATAGTCAGACCCGGCCACCATAGTTCCAAAATTGTAGTTCCTTTTTTTCATTCGTTATATCGACGGCTCATTCGCTATATCGGACAACTGGAAAACTATTCTTTTTTCGGGATGATGCATAAATAGAAGGTTTTTTTTTTTTGAGAAACTGGATTATAGGTGAATTTTGTAAACAGTTGCTGCTGGTTTCTTTCACAACTTATATTCGACCTATTGTGTCGAAATTGACTCGTTGGAATGTATTAAACTTAAAGCCTATACTTTGCACATCCGTCAATATGACCAACACCTGCATAATTACAGCTGCTTAACTTTTGTAGAGCGAGCGAGCCTGCATATTCCACGTTATTTAATTAGTATGCATAAATAGTCCACTAGGAGATCCACCAGTCTTATTTCGGTTTCGAATCGGTGAATAAGCCATGCACGGCCGGCTGTTTCTCAGTTTGGTGGCGCACAAAATCCTTGCTATGTCGGCTACAAACGGACTGGTGAAAATCTATTGTACGTACATGCACATGTACATGTACATGTACATGTACATGTATATCCTAGCCTACGTCTGATATGCGGTTGCCACGCGCCCGTCTTTGCTGCATATCACTGAAGTTGAACCATGAACAAGGCCCCAACTTGAAATCCCGAAATCAAGCTTGACGTAGCCTTTGAAACTCAGTAGGTAAGAAGCACATATTTCGAGTGTCTGCATGTACAAAGGCAGCAGTTTGATAGCAGGGTCGTGATCGCGTTCGTAAACATGCATGTTGAAAATGAAAAGTATTTGGGTGCTATATTCGGACGGATCTCATTTAGAGATTTAACAGGACATTGTATCTGCATGCCGGCATTATGATGTGCAGCGAGTCATGAGTCATGACGTGGTACACTATGTTACGAAAGCCCTGTAGTGCCATCAAGTATATATTTTGTCCAAGTTCGTTTTTATGAGTTATATATTTCGCAAAGTTCGTTTTTATGAGTTATATATTTCGCAAAGTTCGTTTTTATGAGTTATATATTTCGCAAAGTTCGTTTTTATGAGTTATATATTTCGCAAAGTTCGTTTTTATGAGATACATTTTGTCCAAGTTCGTTTTTATGAGTTATATATTTCGCAAAGTTCGTTTTTATGAGATACATTTTGTCCAAGTCCGTTTTTATGAGTTATATATTTCCCAAAGTTCGTTTTTATGAGATACATTTTGACGAAGTTCGTTTTTATGAGATACATTTTGTCGAAGTTCGTTTTTATGAGATACATTTTGACGAAGTTCGTTTTTATGAGATATATTTTACGGAGTTACGGAGTTTTATGAAGTTACGGAGCCCCTAAAGTGACATCCAAAATTATTTTTTTATCTCGTGCGCACGACAAAGTATCTCGTGCGCACGAGATAATTATCACGTGCGCAGGACATATATCTCGTGCGCAGGACATATATCTCGTGCGCAGGACATATATCTCGTGCGCACGACATATATCTCGTGCGCACGAGATAATAATAAGTATTAACGGAGCTTGCTGCACGTGCAGCGGACGAGTTTGTGTGTAAAGAAAGCAGCGCGTCAGTTACGGAGCCCCTAAAGGGACATCCAAAATTATTTTTTTACCTCGTGCGCACGACATAATATCTCGTGTGCACTTCATATTTCTCGTGCGCATGAGATAATTATGTCGTGCGCACGAGATATATGTCCTGCGCACGTGATAATTATCTCGTGCGCACGAGATACTATGTCGTGCACACGAGAAAAAAAAAATTTGGATGTCACTTTAGGGGCTCCGTAACTTCATAAAACTCCGTAACTCCGTAAAATATATCTCATAAAAAAGAACTTTGCGAAATATATAACTCATAAAAACGAACTTTGCGAAATATATATCTCATAAAAAAAAAACTTTGCGAAATATATAACTCATAAAAACGAACTTTGCGAAATATATAACTCATAAAAACGAACTTTGCGAAATATATAACTCATAAAAACGAACTTTGCGAAATATATAACTCATAAAAACGAACTTTGCGAAATATATAACTCATAAAAACGAACTTTGCGAAATATATAACTCATAAAAACGAACTTTGCGAAATATATAACTCATAAAAACGAACTTTGCGAAATATATAGTTCATAAAAACGAACTTGGACAAAATATATACTTGATGGCACTACAGGGCTTTCGTACTATGTTATACTGTACGGCACTGTACTTGTTGGCCTACTATCTCCATGTTGAAAAAGGCTTCTAGACATCAGTGTGTTCGCAATCAAGAGCTAGGTTTTACCACAAGGAACTCAGTGAAAACGCACATACATGCGCTATGCAGAGTGGCACGCTCAGCGAAATGCATTAGGCCAAAACAAAATAGTTCTGCTTCCGATTACATGGCATTTTAAATTAGGGTAGGTAGGTAGGGGAAAAAAATGTTTTGCCAATTTTTTTTTGTGTACGATCACATGGAGGCGTCCGCGTGTAGTCAAGGATAAATGGTAAAATTGATGGTTTTGGGTGTTTTCCCCTCATTTTTCCCATAAAAAAAAATTAGGGTAGGGGCTGTCAGAATAGGGTAGGTAGGGAAACCGGAAGCAGAACTATTATTTTTTTGGCCTTAGTACAATGCGCAGATATTCAATCCATATTGTCAACATTTCAATCAACCATATATGGAGGTAATCTTCCTATCATTGGATCAACGGACTCCATTTGAACAGGTCGACATTAATAACATGCATAAATAAATGCGGAGAATTGAGTTCGGCTACTTCAAAAGATTATTACTGGCCTTAATATATGCAGGCTGGCTAGATTATCTTCATGATGCATGCGCTATCGGACGGACTTTTATTTAGCGATTTGTGTACCTGCAATGCCGGCATTGTGTGCAGCGAGTCTTGACGTGGTACACTACACTGTACGGCACTGTACTTGTACATGTACATGTATATTGTACTATATCTCCATGTTAAAAAAAAAAACCTTCTAGATATCACAGTGTTCGCACTCAAAGAGGGTGAGGTTTTGAAGTAAGGAGAAACTGACCATAACGAAGAAAACGCACATAAAAGTACATGCGCTATGCAGAGTGGCACGCCTTAGCGAAATGCATTAGTACAGTGCGCATTATATTCAATCCATATTGTCAACATTTCGATCAACCATATGGAGGTAATCTTCCTATCATTGGATCAACGGACTCAACTTGAACAGGTCGACATTAATAACATGCATAAATAAATGCTGAGAATTGAGTTCGGCTACTGCAAAAGATTATGATTGGCCGTAATATATGCAGGCTGGCTAGATTATCTTCATAATAGTGAAGTTGGCTCCAGAAAAATAGGGTGTGTTTAGGAGGATCGTAAATCGTAATAATTATTAATTAGGCGGGCATCCTTCTGAAGATGTTCGTCCGCTCTCTTCAACAAATTGATTTTTCTTCTGACATGTTTTTTTATCATGGTTTGAAGTTTAACAAAAAGTATACTATAGGCCTATATCCATAAATTGCATTCATCAATGTTTTCCAGATAATATATTTTGCCTATATTCAGTCACATGAACTTTGCACTATCCTTATAAGATGCGTCATCGTGGTCTTGTACGCTTATGGAAACAGCCTTGTATTCTTTTCTTAATTTCTCATTCCATTAATCTAAATTTTAAAAACTAATTTCAAAGCATTGATTTGTTTGTGGTGGTAATTACCTTCATATTTCTTTTCGTTTGTAATATCACTGTATTATGCTTATTTTATCCAACTTTGTATTGGTTCATTGGAGAGTGCTTAAAAAATGTCAACTGAATTGAATTAGACGGGGGGAAACAAAGTTCCCGGCCTTTGAGTGTCCGTATGTTTTGGAGGGTTACTTTTGCGCACCAGACTATAGCGCACTGCTAATTCCTGGTCCCCAGATTTGGCGGGGGTAAGGTTGGATGGAACAAGCATTATTATACCCTGTGAGAATTAAATTATTATCGGGCCATGTATGAATAACGACCTATCTCTTAAGTAATCATTCCATAAACATCGGCCGATTTGTTTTCGTGCCATGCGAAAACGCCAGTATTGCAAGTGACGTGACAACTGTTTTGGCCCTTTTTTTGTTGAATTTAATCGGAATAAGCATTGTCATTATGACATACATGTACATTGTATTGAACCCCGGTTCATTTTGTTCAGTGAACTACATAGGTATTGTGATGATCTTTGTGATTGTTTCTTCTCGTTTAACGCATCAAAATTGCTCAAAGTAAAGGATGCATAACAACTAACTTGCTGAGGTGTCAGCTCGATCGTTTTCTACTGTTTATTTGGATCGAGAAAACAGAGACAACATAATCCTCGACCCTTCATAATCTGCGCAGGTAAATTGAAGGTGAATGCGTAGAAAAAAGGACCGCGTATAGCTTAGGGGATCTGACCATACGCATTAATTGTTTCGTTCTCGCAGGTAACCTCATTCCCCCCCCCCCCCCCGATTGTTTTATTCAGAACGATATCCACGCTTTTCAAGCGGAATAATTTCATACGGTTTTTTGGGACTACTATCGAGCGCCGTATCTGTACATCTTGAGCTGTTTTTTTTACTCAGTAAACCAGTATTCGTTCCTTTCCCGGTATGATGACCAATGATTTACATACGTGCTTATTATGTGCCTTTATACAGCGATATTGTAGAGCGTTCGTCATGGCCAAGTTGCAGATGTTTGATGTCGTGTTCGACGGCGACAATACTGCTGTCTACCGATCGGGAGAAGTAGTCCGAGGCTTTGTGAGAATTGTGCTTGGAGAAGTCAAGAATGACGTCAGGGGTGCGTATATGGACCACGTGACCGGTGACGTCATGTCTGTCAGTTGCCGAAATGCAAACACCAATGCCCCTCTCCCGTCTTGTGTGATGCAACATATTTATTTTGTTGACACGAAATAATTATCTCGAAGGATATACGTGCTGCGTAGAAGTATTGGAGAATTAAATGCTTTTTCGTCGTAATTGGCGGCGTCACGTGCCAACAAGCGCGAAAATTCCTCACACCGGATTTCTTTGTTGATCCTCAGTGAAGAAATATTGATGTCATATACGTCTTGCTCTAAAAATCGTGTGAACAAATTCAACAAAATTGTATTGAATTTTGTCCCAAAAAAAGGCTTTTGTCTTTCGTTTGGTTGAGTCATGGTTGAGTATAGAATACTTCATGCAAGCGGATGCGAATTCGAAGGAAAATAAGTTGACCCATCGAAAATTTCGCAGCGAAACTTATCGGAATTACATGAAATGTGTTCATGCAGCGCGTAATTGATGACACACATTCGCGTTCGCACATTCGCGCCAAGCAGGAACCAGTGTCACATGAAATTTGAACTCCGGTGAAATATAAGGTCTCTTTTACCTGATACGTGGATTCTGACCCTCACGTGTGAGTCACTGACCCTGTTCGAATTGTCTTCACTTAGACATGCGCACAACAAGTATGTGTTTCATAGAGTCAAAATTTCACACTACACACCTGAATATAGTTCGTAACGTGTTACAAGGGCGGATCCAGCACACAATTTTTTGGATGGCCAAAAAAAACCCATTGAGTCCCCCAAAAGTGTTTGAAAAAATTACGGCGTGGGTTCGGGTCCAACTTTAAGGGCCCTGATTTTTTTGCATTCTAGATGCTCTGTGGTGCGATCTGAGGCAATTTCTGACCACTTTAACCAATGTTTTTTGAGAAAAAGATGGTGGTGTACTCATTGCCATGTCTTTATTGCGAAATCACTAAAAAAAAAATCGTGATCGTTTTTTTGGGGGGGGGGGGGGCCATGGCCAGGGGCCCCCGGATCCGCCCTTGACGTGTTATCACTAGTGTGGTGCCGAACCAAAGTACTATGGGCGACTCAAACAGATACTTTTTTCCCCAGAATTGCGACCTTTATGTAATGATTTACCATTGACTAGGACCCGTCAATCTGAATGACTGTAAACGAGTCGATCTTTTGCGTTTAATAGCTCCAATTTTTTCGCCTTATGATTTTGTTGGTTGCGACTCTGGAACGCCAAACGTTGCGTCAGTGCAACAAGGTCGTAAATCGATTCTGCGACAAAGTCGTATCTTGAGCGAATACGCTCCGTGCAACAACGTTGTATCTCGACGTCCATTGACTTTGTGCGTACATCCGGCTCATTTTAAGCAAGATACGACCTTTTGTAATCCTAAAAACTCGCATTTAGCGCAAATGCCATTTTAGGAGATTGGCAAATTACCTTGTTGCACGGACATGACGATGAAACTATATAATGCACTTTTTTTTTTAGGGAAGCTCGTATATCTGTGTAGAGTAGGCCTATAGTATACGTGCCAAAGTTTAATGGTGTGTGCTAATGGAGTGTGATTCTAACTTTCAGTGCTCTTCAAGGCCGTTCTTTGTTTTTAATCCTCGATTAGGCATTCAAATCAAGTTCAAAGGCGAGTCTCACACCCGTTGGTCAGAGGGAGATGGCAAGAACAATCGATGCTACTCGGCCAGGGAGGTCTACTTCAAAGAAAAGATCATCTGCTGGGGAAAAAGTAAGTCAGATAATCCGAATCAGATCCTCCTGTCAATTTGATCACACAGCAAAATTATGAATGTAGTTTTCTTGTCAAAAAAAACCCCAGGATTTAGTAATTGTATTCCAGTAATGCACACAATTTTAAGCCCATATATACAGGGTGAGTAAAAAAAAAGAGAAACCCAAATGTCGCCGGGACCATTGATTTAATGAAGTTCTGCATGTATATATAGCACTTTCAATATATAGGAAATGAAAACCCAATTCATATAAAGCTTTCTTTTAGTATACAAGAACCATTCAAATCACCCATGTACTTTTCAGTTAAGTTAAGGAATTTTAAGCACAGCCACCATTTTTAAATTCTGACCACAGATCACAAGAAAAGATATGCGTATAATTCTTTCAGCAAAACGAGAACAATTCACACACTGGCCCTATGTGATTTGTTTTCGTTTTGCTGAAAGAATGCCTTTTGTGATCCGTGGACAAAACTTTAAAACGGTGGTTGTGTTTAAAATTCCGTTACTTAAAAAGTACATGCCTGATTTGACTGATTCTTGTACTAGAAGAAAGCTTATGAATTGGGCTTTCATATTCTAGATTTTGAAAGTGCCCCGACATTTGTTTTTTGGGTTTTTTTTTTACTGACCCTGTATACGTGTGACGTCAGTATCTTTCACGTCTGACACTCTTCCTATAGGCCTAGACAAAAGGGCTGCTGCGTTCCACTTATTACGCGAACTGAACCCAAACGTTGCCAATGATATCCTTATTGGCTATCCTGATGCACAAACTGAGATCTCTAACATTGGCAACTTGTGCTTGAATGGAACAGGAATGTTCAGTGACAAATGTAAATTTCTCTGTACCCACGTGTAAACGTGGACAGCGACAGTAAGTGCGTGAACTGGTTGCGATGATCGTGCCAAGTTTCGTCATGAATTCGGCACCGTATAAAACCCTGCTAACTTCTTTCTGTTCATTTTTTTTTACTCAAACGGGACACGTGGAAGATTAACGGCAATGGTAACAACCGTACCTTTTCCCGCAGGTAAAAATGACCCCGGTGCATCGAAGCTGACCCTTGAGTCCGGGGAGCATCGCTTCCCGTTTTCCTTCCAGATACCCAACGTCCCGCTGCCCTTCCCGTTCGAGTCGTGCGTGGGCTGGATCCGCTACCGGATCATGTGCAAGATCGACCGGCCCTGGAAGTTTAACCATAACACGGAGCGGCTGTTCACCGTCGTTGGTACACCCATTGACCTGAATACCATGCCCCATGCCAGAGTAAGTTGTGGTGTTTTTGTTAAAGTTAATGCAGCTACTCGGCACGTAATTTGCTATGCAAAGTGTTTCCTTATGGAAGAAACGGATAGCAGCCCAAATGTCATGTATTGTATACAGGGTGAGTCAAAATAAACGAAACCCAAATGTCGGGACCATTGTTTTAGTGAAGTTCTGCATGTAGCACTTTCAAAATCTCGGATGTAAAAGCCCAATTCATAAGCTTTCTTTTAGTACAACAACCATTCAAATCACTCATGCACTTTTCATGTTACGGAAATTTAAACACAACCACCGTTTTTAAGTTTTGTCCACGGATCACAAGAAGATAAGTGTTCTTTCAGCAAAACGAAAGAAAATCACATAGGGATGTGTGTGAATTGTTTTCATTTTTCTAAAACAGCACACACCTTTTTTTGTGATCCTTGGATCCATTTAAAACAGTGGTTGTGTTTAAAATTCCGTAACTTGAAAAGTAAATAAGTGATTTGAACGATTCTTGTACTAAAAGAAAGCATATGAATTGGGCTTTCATATCCGAGATTTTGAAAGTGCTACGTGCAGAACTTCACTAAAACAATGGTCCCGACATTTGGGTTTCGCTTTTTTTTACTCACCCTGTATAGCTTGGTTCCTAGGTGGTTTTTATAAGGAAGTAAATTAAGCTAAGCACTAATTTTTCGTGGCACCTCTATGAAAAAGGCCTTATTCTAGAGCGAATGACAGTGATGTATGTCACGACGCCATTTTGGGGGATTATCGGGCCGCGTCCCATGAAAAATCTTCTCATACACCAGTGATAAATCTTCAAAATTCTTTTTAAAACACTCAGAACTCTCACAGGTGTTCAGGCTGCACAGAAAAATGATGATCAACATGTCATCTCTCATTTTCTTTTCAATTTTTGGTGGGTTGACATTGACTTTTTGAAGAAATTCTAACCCAAAGAAGACCACCCCTAAAACCAAAGAAGACCATCCCAAACTGGAAAAGTAGCCATTTTGAAAAATATGGTTCATTGGGCCCTTGTGGTAAAGAGCTTTATGATGAGGAGGTTAAAGGCACTTTGTCGACCGTTGACTTGTATAGATCTGTGTGCCTGTGTCCCTAAGCGAGGCACTTTGCATCAAGTTTTTCTCTCCTTACACCAAGCGGCATCCACTGATATTATGTGGTACTAATATAATCTCCAAATTTCCAAATCATGATTGAAACTCAAAATAAAAGTTACTTCTATGTCATTGCAATATTCAGCTGGAGCATGTCACCCTTCAAACCAACAAAATGAACACTGTCTCTTATTTTTCAGATCCCGTCTCACCAAGAGGCAACCAAGACAGTCTGCTGCCTGTGCTGCGCCCAGGGCCCGATCATAGTCAAAGCTTCCACGGACAAGGGGGCCTACGTGTCGGGAGAAAGTATCTTTGTGTCGGGCACGATCGAAAACAACACCAGCCGAGAAATCATTGACATTACCTACAAGCTAGTTCAGGTTGAATTATCGCATTTGTATTTTCTTTTCCAGTATACTAATTCCTTCAATTACAACATTTCTCTCATAGGAGTACTTGCGATTGATTTATTAACTTGGTTAATCTTTAATTTACTTACTTGATTCGCTCTTTTCACGCTCCGCCATTGGGCATGCAGAGCCTCAATCTGGCAACTTTACACAATAAAAATAGCCGGTTCAGTGATCTGAACCCCGACAAGGGAATCACTGAACCGGCTATGTTTATTGTGTAAAGTTACCAGATCAAGGCTGTACATGCCCATGGCGGAAGTGTGAAAAGAGCGAATCTTATAAGAGTAATGCTGGTCCTGCTTGTGTCGCCATTGTGAAGACTAGGATAATTTGAAGGATCAATTGTGTTTTAAGTTATATTTATTTCCTCGTGAAACTTGGTTGACAAATTCCCTTAACATTTCACAGATTGTTAGGTCATTTGTATCTATATAGCCTTTTGCTCTTTAAGACAAGTTGAGTTTCAAGGTATGATATGTCCGTGCTTTGTCTTAACACGTTTGCAGCCTTCCTGTATCAATAAGTTTAACGTAATACACTTCAATTGGATGAGAAATGAGAAACGGTAAAATGTCTCGAAACTTGTGTCTACCATGGAGCTATTTGCTAAGAAACACCACTGCTGTTGAGATCGCTCTTGAGGCACTCACCAATGCACAACAGAGTCATAATTTTACGACCACTTTACAGTTGTCATCAAAAGGGTACCTGTGATGGTAAATTGGACAAGTAAATCCAAATCATTCTATTTGCTCTTCAATCTCCTCTCAGTGCTAACTTTAGCTGAAAACAGATATATTGTACCTTTATTTTCATAGTAAACAATGCCCACCAAGTACCTTTGGTCACTATATAAAGAAAAAAGAAACTTGCTTTCGATGTCCTTTCAATGTGACAGTGAAACTTAACAGTATTTGACTGCAAGTCACAAAGTGCAATACAAAATACATGTATACCGTACCAAAAGAATTCGGTTTGTTTTGGTAAGTATTTCACGTATTTTAACTGGTCCCCTTCCTTTCAGTTTGTCACGTACTTCTCCAGCGGCGGCCACAAGACCAGGCGGACGTTTACCATGGTCAAAGATAAAGCTCCTGGGTGTAAGAGTGGGGAGGTGGCCCGCATGGATTGGAAGCCCCTTATCTTACCTTCTATTCCTCCATCCGGGCCCCAGGGATGCAACATCATCAAGATTGAGTATTTCGTTGAGGTATGCCCTGCCAAATGGAAGAGACATGAAGAGCTAAAGTTACTTCTCGTACTTGGTATATAGATTACTCACAAGGGATTGCAGTTTCTTGTCACAAGTTCGAGCGAGGGATATACTTAACCGCTTATGGTCGTAAGGTGGACCATGGAGGATTTCCTTCCTCCATGATTTTCCTGAGTAAAACAGCGGCCCAACACAGTGTGCTTTCAACAGTACCATGCAGCTCCCTAAAGCCTAGTTTCCATATCGAGGTAACGCAGAGAGTCCAACGCAAACAAGACCAAAACTGCAACACGGACATACGGAAACAATTTCATTCGGAAATGTCACCGACAACCCAGACAGACGCAAACTATCTCGTAGACAATCGGCAAAGTTGAACCTGATGGTCTTTGCCGACAGTTCCGCGCACTGTCTGCGCAGTATGCATTAGCTTAATGTCGACATGAAATTGCTTTATGAAAAACAATATGCTTCAGAGTGAACCATTATGATGCAAAGAACTCAAACCGATTATGTATATTCTTCCTTTGTTTATAGTTTGAAGGTGACGTCAGTAGCACCCCATTGGATGCTGAGGTGAAGTTGCCTGTTACCATAGGGACAGTGCCTCTTTACCAGTCTCAGTACCCGGATCCATCCGCCGTTGTGAGTGAGCAACCGTCCGCTAGCGCTGCAAGTAAGTGCATGTCAAAACAAGTCTTTCGAGAACCCTATAAAAAAAATCCTGCAATCATACATCCAGTTTCGAACACTATTTTTTCCCTGTACATGTAGTTACTTTTGATAGATTTGTAATAGCACATTATTTTATTCCTTTACTTAAATATAGCTGCGCCACCCCCGAGTTACCAAGTTGCCGTGGAAGGACTCCAGGAAATACCAAGCAAGAGTGGCCACGACTACACCTTTGGTAAACTCATGTACGCCCCTCAGTACCCGACCTACAATCTGCCGGCGAGTGCCCCAACATGGGACCCCGCTCACCCGCCTCAGCAAGCACAGTCGGGATACTATCCTCCAAAATATTAAAAGTGGAACCGTCATATTTTGTGACTTCCGCATGCCTGTTGAATTACACTATATGTCAGTGGGTGGTCTTACAAGAAGTTCGTGTCTGAAACTTTTGACTCGTGCTCATTGCCTGAACGTCATGTTTTTGTGACTTCTTTTTTAGCTGTAACAATATTTTTGTACACGGTATGAACAGCACTGAGTGGTGTTACAACAATTTCGTGTCTTCAACTTGTAATTTATTCCCGTTGCCTGTTTTCCCGACAGGCAGTATACCAATTTAAGAGTAGAAGAACACACCTTAATATGGACACTAGTCCTTGGCTTGGAATGTTTTTCGATAGGGAAAATGAACGTGTGTTTGCATGAGGTCGGATCGAGAGGCTCCCATTTAATAGCTTTGCATAAAGCTATCATTAATAGGCTGATGTTTTGCATGTAAGTTGTGCAAATATTAGTAGGTCAAGTAAATGGTTGTACATAAATAAACCTTTTGTGATCACATAATAGTTTCTAGGCCTTTTTGTGCGTGCTGAATATTTTTCTATTTTATTAATATGCCATCGATGTTCCCAAGTCAAAATTTGTTCTTGGTTTGTATAATATCAGGCTGAATAAATTGTCATTAAGTCATTTTTGAAACCAATTCCGCGCGTCAGTGTAACCGGCTTTTTATTACGCGTGTATTTTATTTTGTTATATTTTGTAAAAATCAGCATTATTAGAGCCTAAATTAATAAAGTGCTTCTTGTTTTCCCTTAACTTTATCTAATGGTTTTACTTTGCATGTTCAGTTTCATCAAATCAAACAGAACATTTTTAACTCTTCTCATTAAAATATTTACAGAACTATTATATCGATGATTAGATAAATAAAGTGTTGACTTATTAACTGTCATTACTCGAATCTCTCAGGGTCTGGGGCATCTGCTTTCTGGACTCGTTCATGTTTTTGGTTTTTTTCGTAGGAAATTTACAAGAAAGTGCCGGTGTCATATGAAAATCGGACTCGTATGAAAATCGGACTCTTTTTCCCTTTTATTGGTTAAACCCTCTCTCGTGACCGGCCCCTTTCCTAATTATCTATGCAAGAGCATGCGCAATACCACCAATGAGTCCGTATTTCATAAAACCTAAATTCATGCTACACCTGGGCTCGGCAAAAAACCTCCTATACGCAATTCCATGGAAATGTGTCGCTAGTATTCTGCTCGGTGTTCGATGTGACATCCCATGGATTTTTCGTAGTGAATACCGACCACCTCTGTAGATGGACCAAGGGGACCCTAGATAACATCAAAACACATGTTGACGGTCATATGTGTGAATAACGTTAAAATCTCCCCCCCCCCCCCTTTTGTGTGTGTGTGTGTGTGGGGGGGGGTCAAAAACAAATGGGGAAACATGTTATTCATCCAATTCATTAACATTCGGCACTAGGCAGCTTATGTCACTGCTAAAGGGTCCTATAGGCCTGCTCAATTTTTGAGGCAATTTTCCATCATTTTTTCATGGGTTTGTTTGAAAGGATTGAAGCTTTTAAAACAAATGTACCCTTTTTGTGTTCAAATTTGCTGTTTTTCTGTCAAATAACCATTTTTGAAGAATTCTGCCAGAAATCTGCCAAAAAAATCAATGCTGTCAATTTTTCTGTCAAACTCGTTTTTAACCAAATTTCTGTCGGTTAGCCGAAAATCGGCTAAAACGGTCACCCTTGAAGGCCGCTCTGCGGCGTTTCCACACAACCGGTTGCATAATTGCTGAATACACAAAATAGGTCATCGATTTGTTTGGGTTCCTTTACCCTGTGTGCGCTCAAGCGTGTTGCGAATTGTGGTTTAGGGCATCCTGGTTATGCGTCATTTTACCCAGTACGTTTTTTCTCCATTCCGCAAAGACTTTATTCGGAACGAGGGGTGGAAACGCACGTGCCGTGGGTACGATTTCTCAGCACACCGGGCAATTTTTCCACCTGCAATCGGCAAACGGCAAACATCGTGGTATGCAAGTTTCTTAAGTTTTATTTTCCTACCTACCCGTAGTACTAGTGTCCATTTTTTTATCATCTGATCTGAAGATGTTGCTGTCATTTGTTGAATCGATAGAAGTAGTTAAAATTACAACAGATTGATGTGTTTTCTTTTTTACCGTTTGTTTATTACTAAGTCATATTACACGCGCCTTTGGTATAGGTCCTTATTTTTTTAACACTGTTCCGTAGTCAATATACATCATTTGCTTTTGCTGTAATTTTCAGAAATGGATGGAATGGGGGGGTTGGAAATATATAGCAAATATAGTTACACTGACTTTTTCGAGGTTTTGGGTTCGAAAATGCTATAAAAACCAAGAAAAACAATCATTTTCCTGTAGTCTGGTTCCCTGACTCCATTTAAGAAGAATCACAGCAGTTTACATGTATTGGGGAATCGTAAGGTCAGGGAACCAGTCTAGCTGGCTTGTACCCGTTCTTGGGTGTGTAATCGATTGCAAACAAGTGCGATGGTCAACTGGGGCCAGTATTTGAAAAAAAGCCAGTTTTTTCCAACGCTGATCGGCCGATCAGCGTTGGAAATTGATACAAAAATACCACTTTTCTTGAAAATGACAGTATACCAGGTGCCATGATTGTACAGGATGCTTTACACTGTCATTCACTTACAGTCCAGCAAGGTATTTCAAAATGATTTGGTAGTTTTATTTTTTGATGTTTGCAAATGTTGTATTTTCCCTTTAAACACCAGATATCCAAATCAGTAATCATGTTAATTGGATAAACTACATCACGATTTAATCACAGATTGGTGTTTATTTAAGTGTTCTAAACCTAAAAACGCGGTTTTACAGTGAAGCGATCATGTCGATGCCTCAGTTTTGACGTTTTTATTTCGGTATATATTATATGTGTTATGAGCTTGGAGAGGGCATATGCAATAACTTAGTTTTCTTTTCGTGTGCTAATTCAGAATGTCTGTTTGTCAACCCACCCATACACGGAGCTATTCTGTTCATCATTTACTCCATTCATTCAAACTTGTCATCAACCAACGTCAAGGGAATGGATTAAACTTTACGGGTAACAAGATGTGCGGTGACGCGACTCCCACATCACGGCCAATGCATGCAGTCAGCAGTCCGTCAAATAAACAGAGATCCCCAAGCCCGAGCGCGCAGTGCGTCCACATAGATTAACATTTAGAAATTCACGCAAAAGAACCCATGCAAAGTGCGTACGGAGACCAGTTCTGAAGGACTGAATGTAAAAAAAACCCGCGTTTTGCCTTCCAATTTATTTATTTTGAGCACCTATGCCTATAAAAGTGACAAGTCATGCAACCCTCGGGAGAAAAAAAACGTGGCCAAGTTGGCCGATACGCTTTTATGCCCGAAGACATATTGGCCTGAATTATAGTCAGACCCGGCCACCATAGTTCCAAAATTGTAGTTCTTTTTTTTTTTTCATTCGTTATATCGACGGCTCATTCGCTATATCGGACAACAGGAAAACTATTCTTTTTTCGGGATGATACAAAAATAGAAGGTTTTTTTTAAGATACTGGATTATAGGTGAATTTTGTAAACAGTTGCTGCTGGCTTCTTTCACAACTTATATTATTGTGTTGAAATTGAGTCGTTGGAATGTATGCCTATACTTTGCACATCCGTCAATATGACTAACACCTGCATAATTACAGCTGCTTTACATTTGAAGAGCGAGCGAGCCTGCATATTCCACGTTATTTAATTAGTATGCATAAATAGTCCACTAGGAGATCACGGTCTTATTTCGGTTTCGAATCGGTGAATAAGCCATGCACGGCTGTTTCTCAGTTTGGTGGCGCACAAAATCCTTGCTATGTCGGCTACAAACGGACTGGTGAAACTCTATTGTACGTACATGCGGTACATGTACATTGTACATGTATATCCTAGCCTGCCTACGTCTGATATGCGGTTGCCACGCGCCCGTCTAAGCTTTGCTGCATATCACTGAAGTTGAACCATGAACCCAACTTGAAATCCCGAAATCAAGTTTGACGTAGCCTTTGAAACTCAGTAGGTAAGAAGCACATATTTCGAGTCGTGTATTTTGATAGCAGGGTCGTGATCGCGTTCGTGAACATGCATGTTGAAAAGTATTTGGGCGCTATATTCGGACGGATCTCATTTAGATGTATCTGCATGCCGGCATTATGATGTGCAGCGAGTCATGACGTGGTACACTATGTTATACAGTACGGCACTGTACATGTTGGCCTACTATCTCCATGTTGAAAAAGGCTTCTAGACATCATTGTGTTCGCGCTCAAAGAGCTTTAATGAAAAGAGGGTGACTTTTTTTGAAGTAAGGAGAAACTGACCACAAGGAAGAAAACGCACATACATGCGCTATATTCAGAGTGGCACGCTCAGCGAAATGCATTAGTACAGTGCGCATACATGTATATTCAATCCATATTGTCAACATTTCGATCAGCCTATCATTGGATCAACGGACTCACCTTGAACAGGTCGACATTAATAACATGCGGAGAATTGAGTTCGGCTACTGCAAAGGATTATGATTGGACGTAATACATGCAGGCTGGCTATTATCTTCTTAGTGTCGGCTCCAGAAAAATAGGGTGTATATTATAGGAGGATCGTAATAATTATTAATTAGGCGGGCATCGATCTGAAGATGTTCATCCGCTCTCTTCAACAAATTGACTTTTCTTATGACATGTTTTCTTTTATTATGGTTTGAAGTTTAACGAAAAAGTATACTTTAGGCCTATCCATAAATTGCATTCATCAATGTTTTCCAGATAATATATTTTGCCTATACAGTCGAATCTCGTTAGTACAAACTCTGTTAATACAAAATTCTGGTTATAACAAACATAAAGCCGTAGACCTGACTGTGCATTTGTGTGCACAATGAATGGGACTGATGTTCCTCTTAATACAAAATTCTGATATAACAAACAATTTGGCTAGGTCCGAACGAGTTTGTATTAACGAGACTCGACTGTATTCAGTCGCAGGAATTTTGCACTATCCTTATAAGATGCGTCTCCTTGCCCTTGTACGCTTATGGAAACAGCCTTGTACTCTTTTCTTAATTTCTCTTTCTATTAATCTAAATTTGAATAACTAGCTTCAAAAGTTGATTTGTTTGTGGTGGTAATTACCTTCATATTTTTTTTCGTTTGTAATATCACTGTATTATGCTTATTTTATCCAACTTTGTATTGGTTCATTGGAGAGTGCTTAAAAAATGTCAACTGAATTGAATTAGACGGGGGGAAACAAAGTTCCCGGCCTTTGAGTGTCCGTATGTTTTGGAGGGTTACTTTTGCGCACCAGCATGCTATAGCGCACTGCTAATTCCTGGTCCCCAGATTTGGCAGGGGTTGGAACAAGCATTATTATACCCTGTGAGAATTAAATTATTGTCGGGCCATGTATGAATAACGACCTATCTCTTAAGTAATCATTCCATAAACATCGGTTGATTTTTTTTTTCGTGCCATGCGAAAACGCCACTATTGCAAGTGACATGACAACTGTTTTGGCCCTTTTTTTTGTTGAATTTAATCGGAATAAGCATTGTCATTATGACATACATGTACATTGTATTGAACCCCGGTTCATTTTGTTCAGTGAACTACATAGGTATTGTGATGATCTTTGTGATTGTTTCTTCTCGCTGAACGCATCAAAATTGCTCAAAGTAAAGGATGCATAACAACTAACTTGCTGAGGTGTCAGCTCGATCGTTTTCTACTGTTTATTTGGATCGAGAAAACAGAGAAAACATAATCCTCGACCATTCATAATCTGCGCAGGTAAATTGAAGGTGAATGCGTAGAAAAAGGACCGCGTATAGCTTAGGGGATCTGACCATACGCTTATATTGTTTCG